GATAGGACAATATTTGGTCGAATACAACTATTTGAATATCTGGAATCTGAGGGTGCAAAAAAATCTAAATATTGAGAAAATCGCCTTTAAAGTTGTCCAAATGAAGTTCTTAGCAATGCATATTACTAATCAAAAATTAAGTTTTAATATATTTACAGTAGGAAATTTACAAAATATCTTCATGGAACATGATCTTTACTTAATATCCTAATGATTTTTGGCATAAAAGAAAAATCTATCATTTTGACCCATACAATGTATTTTTGGCTATTGCTACAAATATACCCCAGCGACTTAAGACTGGTTTTGTGGTCCAGGGTCACATATAAGTATTAAATAGTATTGTTTCTTACTTTTACTATACCATATTGACATACCACACTAACTGTACAATACCACATTATACTATAATGTATCAGGCAACACTATACTATATTGCACTATAATACACTATAGCACAACATATTAGTGTACTGTACTGTATTATACTGTATGATAAAAATATTAGGGTTGTCCGTGGACACTACAGTTCAAAGGTTTTTGAGAGACGTCTCTTTTTCTCCCCAAGGCTGCATTTATTTGATCAGAAATACAGTAAAAACTGTATATTTTATAAAAATATATTTTTAAATGTTTTTTATATGTTTTCAACGCTGAATTTTCAGCATCATTACTCCAGTCTTCAGTAATAATTCTAATATGCTGATCTGCTGCTCAAGAAACATTTATTATTAAATAACAGTGCTGCTTATTATTTTTGTGACAAAAAAAAAGAAGAAAAAAAGAAATTAATACTTTTGTTCAGCAAGGACACATTAAACTGATCAAAAGTGTAAGTAAAGGTATTTACAAAATTTCGATTTCAAACAAATGCTGTTCTTTTGGACTTTCTATTCATTAAAGAATTCTGGGAAAAAATGTATCACGGTTTCCACAAAAATATTAAGCAGCAAAAAAAAAAAATTCAACATTGATAATAATAACAACAACAACCATAATTAATAATTGAGTACCAATAATAATTGAGCAGCAAATCAGCATATTAGAATGACTCCTGAAGGATCATGTGACTGAAGACTGGAGTAATAATGCTAAATATTCAGCTTTGCATCACAGGAATAAATTACATTTAAAAAAAAATAGAGAAATTTAAATGAGAAAATTGAGATTTCAAATTATATTTCAGAATACTACCGTTTTTACTATATATATATATATTTGATAAAATAAATGCAGCCTTTGTGAGCATAAGAAACCTCTTCCAAAAACATTTAAAAATCTTATTTATTCCATACTTTTTCCAAACTGGTGGTGTATATATGTACACTTTAGACACATGCCAACATGAAACATTAAAAACCATGAACATAACCATACAAAAAAAATAAAAAAATCACCCAGACTACCCAGTGAACCCATTAAGTGTTAAAAAATTTAAAAAAATAAATAAATAAAACATTATACCATTCTACATCATATACTACACTGCTATATACACTGTAAAACTGATTTAGAATAGTTCTGGATGCTAATTGTTTCATACAGCATTCCACAATACAGTAACAGCTACAACACGAAAACTGCATGGGAACCAAAGAGGCGAACAATGTCAGGCACGTTATCTCTACTCGATTACCACACATGCACACACATTTACTCACATTATGAAGGTGATGAGGGTGTGAGTGATCATACTCTATGGTGTTGTGGGGCAGAGATGCATCATGTGCATGCGGATGCCCAGGAGGGTAGAGGCCTCCTGATCCATTCAGCAAAGCCAGACCGTTGGGCAGTTTGTGGTGGAGGTGATGGCAGGCCTGGGGCATCATGGGAGCGCTGTGTCCACAGCCCGTGTGCACGCTTCCATTCACATGGCTGGAGCCAGGCAGTGTGGAATATTCCAGAACATGGCCGTTCATCTCTGCAGACTGGTACAGGTAACTTGGAGGGTCGTATTCTACAGAGAATTTTTTTTTTTTTACGTTAGTATATTTTGTAATGTGTAGAAATAAAGGATAATAAATATTTTTTTAATTAATATTTTTATACCGTTCCAAAAAATTGGGGTAGGTAAGGTCTTTTTTTCTTCCGCAAGAAACATTTATTCATCAAGGACAGTAAAGACATTTCTAATATTGCAAAATATTTCAAATAAATGCTGAAATTTTATCAAAAAATACATCAGTTTCCACAAAAATATCTGTGCAGTATAACTGTTTTCAACATTGATAATAATAATAAATGTTTATTGAACAGCAAATCAGCATATTAGAATGCTTTCTGAAGG